GAGGAGGAGGAGGAGGAGGAGGAGGAGGAGGAGGAGGAGGAGGAGGAGGAGGAGGAGGAGGAGGAGGAGGAGGAGGAGGTAGTGGCGAGGTGCCCTCGGTAGCAAGAGCGGGAGCAGGGGGAACGGTGGGGGAAGGCAGAGATACTGAGATGCTGCATTGGCATCGCAGTGAGCACCTCTCAAGGTACAGCTCGGCGTATTCTCCTGTGCTGCTGCGGGCAGTGCCTGAAGGAGGAGGAGGAGGAGGAGGTAGTGGCGAGGTGCCCTCAGTAGCAAGAGTGGGAGCAGCAGGGATGGCAGGAGCAGTAGCAGGAGGAGCAAGGGGGAAAGGAGCAGAAGGAGCAGCAGCAGTGGTAGAGTTAAGCCAGTCTGGCATGCCATGTGAGCTCACAGCAAAGGGTAAATTGCCCCAGAGACCCGGGCAGATGGGTCATAGACCCTGCTTTCCTCATTCCAAGTCTCTACCCTCGGCTTTAACTGGGGGAAGCTGGAATGAGGAGGAAATCTTACGCCCGCTTTTGACTGTGAAAGGGTTACATGCTGAGGAGCCTCACACTGTGAATAGAATTGCTGTTCCTGGAAACGTAGACGCTCCTTTATCTAGGCGTGCTTTCCCTTCAGATAGTGGAGACGGTTTTGCTGCTGTGGAAGACAGGCAGTCACAGAGACAGAAATGGATGCAGCAGCAGCAGCAGCAGCAGCAGCAGCCGAACCAGCAGGGTGCCTCTACAGCCCCGTCAGCAGCACAGGATGGCCGATTTCGTCGCACTCGCTCTGCCCCCCGCTCCTCCCTTCCCCCAACCACCGCCTCCACCACTTCTTTCTCTGCTCACCCATCTGGACTCCTCCCTAATGTGCCTCGATCCTCCCCAACCCCTCTTTCCTCCCCACCCCCCATGCCCAACAACCCGCAATCCTCGTGCCCATCCGCCTCTGCCCGTCGCCTCTCCTCGTCCTTCTCGGGGGGTGAAAGCACTGGCCTTGGCTCGCCTGACTGCAGGAGCACCACCGCCACAATTCCTCCCGCATCTGATGCATCTGATGCATTTGACGCGCCACAGGCAGTTATGGCTGAGTCGCATGGGCAGCAACAGCCTCCCAAGCACTCCACTGTCGCCAACCATGCTACAGCCGCGCATGCAGCAACTGACGGTGCTGTAGCCAGGCTTCGTATGGCCAGCTGTTCAACAGTCAATGGCCCTGCCATGCCTTCTCAGCAGCAGGACAGTCAGCAGCATTGGCAGCGCTGTATGGCTCAGGAGCAGCATGCGCTGCAGAAGTGGCAGTGCGATAATCAGCAGCAAGAGGAAGAGCAACAGCATCAGCATCAGCAACAGCAGCAACAGCAGCAACAGCAGCAGCAGCAGCAGCAGCAGCAGCAGCAGCAGCAGCAGCAGCAGCAGCAGCAGCAGCAGCAGCAGCAGCAGCAGCAGCCGCAGTGGAATGCAGTAGACAGTTATGACATGCCACTCAGCCTGCCTCTGCCAGAGCTACCGATGGACCCTGGGGAAGATGAGTCGGGCAGGAGGAGAGATGAGAGAATGGAAGCAGTCGCTTATGTGCAAGAGCAGGAAGAACTAGAGCAGGAGCAGCAGCAGGTGGATTTGAGGGAGCTGGATGTGGTGGGGTTGGTGCTGAGGGGAGGTGGGGGGGAGAGGGAAGAGATGAAAGAGTTGGATGCGATCTGGAGGATGCAAGGGCTGGGCTTGGTGGGGGTGCAGCAAGGAGGAAGGTGGCATGAGAGGGGGAAGGAGGGGGTAGAGCGACAGCAGGAGCAGCAGTGGCAGTTGCAGCAGCAGCAGCATCAGCATGAGCGGCAGTTGCAGCAGGCCCAAAGCCAATGGTGGCGGCAACACCTGGATCAGCAGCAGCAGCAGCAGCAGCAGCAGCAGCAGCAGCAGCAGCAGCAGCAGCAGCAGCAGCAGCAGCAGCAGCAGCAGCAGCAGCAGCAGCAGCAGCAGCAGCAGCAGCAGCAGCAGCAGCAGCAGCGGCATCAGCACCAGCACGTGCAAAGAGAAGCAAGAGCAGCAGGTGGAGGTGCAGGGGCAGTGGCAGGGGTAGTGCAGTTGAGACGCAGTCATACGGAGGACTGGAGGGCGCACAGGGCACTGGTGGCCGAGGCAAGAGGGCAGCATGAGCAGCACGATCAGAAGAACCAGCAACAGCATCCGCAAAGAACAGTAGCAGCAGCAGCAGGTGAAGGCGCAGGAGCAGGGGCAGGGCAGTTGAAGCGCAGTCATACGGAGGACTGGAGGGGTCACAGGGCAAGAGGGCAGCATGAGCATCACGTTCAGAAGCAGCGGCAGCATTTGCAAAGAGTAGGAAGAGTAGCAGATGCAGATGCAGATGCAGATGCAGGTGAAGGTTCATGGGCATGGGCAGGGGCATGGGCAGGGGCAGGGGCAGGGGTAGTGCAGTTGAGGCGCAGTCAGACAGAGTATTGGAGGGCACAGAGACATGTGGCTAAGGGAGGGGGACAGCATGAGCAGCGGGATCAGAAACAGCAGCAGCACTGGCAAAGAGTAGCAAGTGCAGCAGGGGCAGGGGCAGGGGAGTTGGGGCTCAGTCGTACGGAGGACTGGAGGGCACGCAGCACACTGGTGGCCGAGGCAAGGGGGCAGCATGAGCAGCACGATCAGAAACAGCAGCAGCAGCAGCACATGCAAAGAGCAACAACAGCAGCAGATGGAGGTACAAGGGCAGGGGCAGGGGTAGTGCAGTTGAGGCGCAGTGAGACAGAGGACTGGAGGGCCAACAGGACACTGGTGGCGAAGGCAAGGGGGCAGCATGAGTGGCACCATCAGCAGCAGCAGCAGCAGCAGCAGCAGCAGCAGCAGCAGCAGCAGCAGCATGAGCAGCAGCAGCAGCATGAGCAGCAGCAGCAGCATGAGCAGCAGCAGCAGCAGCAGCAGCAGCAGCAGCAGCAGCAGCAGCAGCATGAGCAGCAGCAGCAGCATGAGCAGCAGCAGCAGCAGCAGCAGCATGAGCAGCGTTTTGAGTGGACCTCTGACTGGGCTGTCAATCAGATTGCTGAACGCCCTTCTGACTGGTGCTTGTATGGGAAGCCGCAACAAGCTGTGCTTGGCACTGCTGGTGCTGCTGGTGCTGCTGGTGCTGCTGGTGCTGCTGGTGTTGCTGGTGCTACTGGTGCTGCTGGTGCTGCTGGTGCTACTGGTGCTGCTGGTGCTGCTGGTACTGCTGCTGGCGGCACTAGTGGTGCTGGCAGTGGCATGGCAGCAGCAGCGGCAGCCAGAGAAGAAGCATCCGGTAGAGCCTGGTCACCTTCTGCTGAAGAGAGCGCAAGGCCATTGTGTGGCCGCACCATGACACTTGACAGACACAGCTTCAGGGTCTGGGGCGCAGGTGCTGGCATGGGCATGGGCGTGGGCATGGGTGTGGGCATGGGCGCGAGTCAGATGGGTGTGGGTGTAAGTGTGGGTGTGGGTGTGAGTCTGAATGAGGGCGATGAGATGGCAGTGCCTCAGCTGGAGCGCAGGCGAACAGTGAGCAGGGTGAAGTTCCGTGAAGGCGTGGACGTGGTTATGTTTGAAGAGGCTGACGTGGCATCTGCTGTGCTGCGATGCTGATGTGGCATCTGCTGTACTGTGATGCTGTTGTGGCATCCACTGTGCTGCTATGTGGATGTGGCACCTGCTGTGGTGAGTTTGCGCTGCTGCTGTTGGTGTTGCTGCCGAGGGTGCTGCTGGTGTTGGTGGTGGTGCTGCTGCTAATGGTGCTGCTGTTGCTAATGGTTCTGAGGTGGTGTGTCAGCCGGCTGTTTCAGCTGCTAGGACTGTATTGAATCGCAGGTGTCTGTTAATAAGTGAATAAGCTCGGCATGCAGCTCGGCATGCAGCTCGGCATGCAGCTCGGCACACAGCAGCAGCATCAGCATGACTCTCATTGAGTGGGCAAGTGACTGGAAGAAATGCACGATTGTGGCAAGGCAAGGCAGGGAAAGAACGAAATTGTGCAATGAGTCAGTCACTGAAAGAACAGCTGGTTGCTGCGCAGCTGGTGAATAAAGCAGGCCCCCTAGCTAAGTGTAGTTGGTCGTTCCACTTGGGGTTGGATAAACTCTGTTTCACAGCATGAAGTGTCTCAACTCAAAGTACATCCGAGTGAAGGTTTGAGAGTGGTTTGGTGTGGTGTGTAGGTTATTGATTTCCCAGCTGTGAGTCACTGGTTTGATATTGTCATCCTTTGAATGTACGGTATGAACAGGCTTGATGTTTCAAGTTGTCACTGGTTTGATATTGTCATCCTTTGAATGTATGAACAGGCTTTGCGTTTGTCAAGAGAAAGAATGCTACCGTATTTTTTTTTGCTCACTACTTTGAGTTTTTTTTCGCGCATAAGATGAAAGTCAGTACCCTAGCAACAAGTCGCAGAGGACAATTCATCCATCATGGTTGCCTGCCAGCCACCCTCAGGCTGAGTTGGATTTGAGTTTGGGGGCACCTCAGGAAAATGCTACAGCACCACAAGCTTCACTCTTATCAGTTTTATAGTATACATATGCAGTACCAAATTCAGCAAAAGGGCAAAGTGCCGACGCACAACACCACCACTAAGACATGAGAGATGTTGCCTCTTCCTTGTCGCCCTGAGTTGATCCATCATGCCTAAAGAGCATTAGAAAGTAAGTGTACCGTTGTAATGCCCATAAGAAGTAGGCGTAACAAATAGCATGGAGGGCAAGGGACGGGATGAGAGCAGGCAGTACGGGAAATAGGGGGTAATCGGTGAGGGGATGAAATCGGGAGTTGAAGACGTGAATGGGAGCTATACTGTTGAGGCAAGACCGCATAGGACTAGGAAAAATGGTCTGGAATAGATTGTTCACAATTGAAGCACCCAACTATGCACACATTCACCTACCAACCTTAGGGCTTCGGGTGATGAGGTGTGATGAGGTGTGACCTGGTGTGACCAGGTGTGGCCAGGTGTGGCAGGGGAAAGGCGGGAACGAGATGCACCGGAGGGAAAGGCGCGCAGGGCTACAGAGGAAGCAGAGGGAGGCGAGGGTGAGGAAGGAGAGGAGGTGGTAAGGTGTGACAAGGTGTGCACAGGTGTAGCAGGGGAAAGAGACGCACCGGAGGGAGAGGCGGGTAGGGCTCCAGAGGAAGCAGAGGGAGGCGAGGGTGAGGAGGGAGAGGAGGTGCCATGCTGCTGTGATGAGCCAGTCGCTCTGCCACTCCAGGTTGAGAGGGTCTGATAGCTTCACATAGGCCTGGTGGTGGGGAGACGGAGGTGGGGAGGAGTGGGGTTAGAGGATTAGGTATGGAAGGAGAGGAGGTGCCATGCTGCTAATATAAGCCAGTCGCTCTGCCTCTGCAGGTTGAGAGGGTCTGATAGCTTCACATAGGCCTGATGGTTGGGAGGTGCGGGGTGTGGGGGAGGAAAAGGAGAGAGGGGGAAGGGGTGGTGAAGAAGGGGTGAAGGGAGAGCTGTGCCAGTTCAAGTTGAGGGGGTTTGAGAGCTTCAGATAGGCCTGGTGGTGGGTAGATGTGGATGGAGGAGGTGGGTGGACGGGGAAGAAGAGGAGAAAGGGAAGGCGAGGAGGGGCGAGAAGGACATGGAAGGGGCGAGAAGGACATGGAAGGGGCGAGAAGGACATGGGAGGGGCGAGAAGGACATGGAAGGGGCGAGAAGGACATGGAAGGGGCGAGAAGGACATGGAAGGGGTGAGAAGGACATGGAAGGGGCGAGAAGGACATGGAAGGGGCAAGAAGGACATGGAAGGGGCGAGAAGGACATGGAAGGGGCGAGAAGGACATGGAAGGGGCGAGAAGGACATGGAAGGGGCACAAAGCAATGGTGTTGTGCCAGGGCAGTCACACCATGCAAGGAACAGCATGAAAGGAAGTCAACTACCTTTTCAGGGACCTCCTATGTGTCTAATATTGAGTCGACTGAACAACAGTCGCACCATGCAAGGAACAGCATGAAAGGAAGTCAACTACCTTTTCAGGGACCTCCTATGTGTCTAATATTGAGTCGACTCAACAACAGTCGCACCATGCAAGGAACAGCGTGAAAGGAAGTCAGATATCTTCCCAAGGACCTCCTATGTGCAAAAAGGCGAATGGCAGTGCATGCATTTGGACGTACCTCTGAGAAGGTGAGAGTGAGAGCAGCAGCGCCTATGGCCCCCATTGCTGCCAGTGCCTGGCGGAAGGTGCTTACGATTCGACTGTCCGAAGCCTGTGTGCACTGCAGTGTGGCGCCGCACAGCACCATACCGCACCGCGCAGCGGCTCCTCACAGAACACCACACCGCTCCAGACCAGACCAGACCAGACCAGACCAGACCAGACCAGACCAGACCAGACCAGACCAGACCAGACCAGACCAGACCAGACCACGCCACACCACACTCAGCACCGCACAAAATAGAAGCCACAGCAGAGAAGAGACGAGAACAAGTAGAGGCATGAAATCAATAGGGTGAATGGTGCTTGTGAACGGTCTAAAAAGTGAACAGAGTATTTTTCAGATTTCTAGATTTTTTTTGAGACGTCTCAAAAGTGAACGGAGTAATTTGCAGATTCCTAGAAAACGCCACCAGGCGGGTGAGCGGCGAGCACGAATGGAGTATGTTAATGGGAAACAACGTGACTGTCATCCGCACGTAACCAGAAGCAGCTTGGGCCATGTCAATGCGGAACTGGCCCGCACGGTCACACATGCGCACGAGGGGAGCGCACAGAGCGCACACAGTCAGTCAGCCACACATCCGCTTGTCCTGCCCAGCCCACCCACACTGCAATTTCTTACCAGCGGCGCCTTGGATGGTGGCATAAGCAGCCGGGATGAGCCAGGCAGCAAGAAGCAGGTCCACTAGCACGAGGGCGGAGTGCAGAGCCACATTGCCATCTCCTACCTGCTCCTTGGTAGCGCGTTGACTTTTGAGTCGACTCAAAAGTCAACTCGCAGAGCCACATTGCCATCGCCTACCTGCTCCTTGGTAGCAGCAGCAGCAGCAGCCCTGATGAGCCGCGCAGCGAAGGGAAAGTTGAGCGGCACAAGAGGGGAGCGTAGAGCCACGTGCTCACCACACGCAGTGGTAGCAGTCACACGTGCCCATGTTCCACCCATACTGCAGCTCCTCACCTGCTCCTTGGTAGCACGAGCGGTCGGGACGAGCCACGCAGCAAGACAGAGGTCCATGAGCACAAGAGGCGTGCGCAGAGCCACGTGCTATCCGCTGCCCCAGCCACATGTCTTCGTGCCCCAGCCACATGTCTTCGTGCCCCAGCCACATGTCTTCGTGCCCCAACAGATTGCCACGCCTCACCTGCGCCTCCGTAGCACGAGCGGTCGGGACGAGCCACGCAGCGAGACAGAGGTCCATGAGCACAAGAGGGGAGTGCAGAGCCACGAGCTCACCACTGCCCCAGTCGTCCACCTGCCCCACGTTCCTCATTCCCTCACATGTTCCCGCCACTAGCACGTACAGGGCTGCTGGTATGAGCGCCTGTGGGGAGGAGAGATGGAGGAGTGGGGTACGGGATGGAAGGAATCGTGTGAGCATGCCTCTCCGCTGCCCCAGCCGTCCACCTACCCCACACTCCTCATTCCCTCACATGTTCCCGCCACTAGCACGTACAGGGCTGCTGGTATGAGCGCCTGGCAGGGAAAGATAAGGATGAGTGGGGTAAGAGACGTGTGGTCCACCTGCCCCACACTCCACATTTCCAGGAATAGAGCACTGCAGCACTCCAGCAAGAACTACCCTGCACCACTCTGAATCACAGTGCACCACTCTGAATCACAGTGCACCACTCTGAACCACTCTGCACAACTCTGCACCACAGCTCACTCCACCAGATTCAAACTTTCCAGAAATCACCCCTACTTTCAGCAGCAAAGTTCAAACATCATTGCCACCCCCACCAGCAATGCTGTTTACAGAAAACCCTGCAGGACTGCAGGCAGTGTGACTAGAGAGCACTGCAGTACTCAAGCAAGCACCTCTCTGGGCCACTCTGTATCCGCTTGCACCACTTCGCGCCGCATTGAATCCCCCCTGACACACCTTGCCAGGAATCACCCCCACTTTCGGCAGCAGCGTGCCAAACCCCACCGCCACCCCCACCAACATCCCCCAAGCAACAGCCCCTGCAAGACTGGGTAGACAGTGCAAGAAAGCACCGCTTTGCACCGCCTCTCACCCCACCCAACCCACCTTGCCAGGAATCACCCCCACTTTCGGCAGCAGCGTGCCAACGCCCACCGCCACCCCCACCAGCACTCCCCTCAGCAGCAGCCCCTGCAGGACCCCCACTGTCACTGCAGCGAGCGTGACTATAACGAATCGGTGCCCCGTGGTGCAGAGGAGGAGGAGGTCGCAGAGGGTGGTGAGGGAGGAGAGGAGGGAGAGGAGGAGGAGGAAGGTGAGGAAGTGAGCGAGTGAGTTGCGATCGAGGGAGTGCCAGGCTGGGCCAAACTGGGGGCGCCAGGCAAAATAGAGGAGGGTGGAGAGCTGGGAGGGAATAGGGGGGGGAAAGGGTGGGGGCGGGTGAATGTGAAGGCAGGGGGTATCATGTTTTGACAATGAGGGAGTGCCAGGCTGGGCCGAACTGGGGCCGCCAGGCAAGATAGAGGCAGGTTTGGAGCTGGGAGGGGTAAGGGGGGAAGGGGGGAACAGAGGGGGCACGGGACAATGAGAGGGAAGCGTGAGGAGGAGGAGGGTGAGGAAGTGAGGGAGTGAGTTGCGATCGAGGGAGTGCCAGGCTGAGCCGAACTGGGGGCGCCAGGCGAGACAGAGGAGGGCGTAGAGCTGGGAGAAGGGAGGGGCGGGGGAGGGGGTGGTATGGGGGCGGGGGAGTTGACGATGAGGGAGTGCCATGCTGGGCCGAACTGGGGGCGCCAGGTGAGATAGAGGAGGGCATAGAGGTGGAGGGGAGGGGGCATGGGAAACGAGGGAGGCCGAGAAGGACGACATAGGAGGGGGGTGAGAGGGTGGAACAGGGGAAGGGTGTTGAAGGAGACAAAGGAATGGGACGAGAGGGAGGCGTGAGGAAGGTGGGGAAGTGAGGGAAGAAAGACATTTACTTCAAATTTGCCATAAAGGCACTTCAAATCCAATTCACAGCAAAAGAAAAAAAGAGTTCAGACCAGTTTATGATTAACTTGATTCGACAACGGCTTCGCACTCTCGTTTAAGACAGTCTGTGTGACTCTACCACTCACTCACCACTCACGTCTCCCTCTCACTCTCAATCTCACTTTCACACTCACCACCAGCATGCCTATCTGTAGCGGTAGGTGTGCCGACAGCATGCCCGGCAGGTACCCCCAGAGAAAAGTAGATTCGACTCAGATCACCAGACTTAGCTCGTTCTAGTGTGCACTAATCTATGCTTAGGCTAGGTAGGAATTGAGTAAGCAAGGAAAATGTCATTCCATGACTGAGCGTATGGGAGCGTACCCCCACCCGTGCGCCCACCACTCCGTGTGCCCAAACACCTTGTGTTGTCCAGGGCCTCATGCTTACGCTCACACTCACAGTCACCCTCACACTCACCACCAGCATGCCTATTTGTATCGGAAGGTGCGCCGACAGCATGCCCGGCAGGTACCCCCACCCGTGCGCCCACCACTCCGTGTGCCCAAACACCTTGGTGTTGTCCAGGTTCTTGTCGCACATGGCCAGCCACACATACACAAAGCCGGCCCGTGGGACGTGCACGGTTTCACTCAGCTCTGCTGTGAGTGAGCTGTTGCCCATGAACTGGGCCTCTAGGACCCGCGGCCACTGGGGAGGGAGAAGGCGGGGGGGAAGGCGGGGAAGAGAGCAGAAGAAAGAGAGGAGGTCTCTGAATGAGCAGAGTCTAAACAGCCTCTGAGCACCTTGGTGTTGTCAGGGTTCTTATCACACATGGCCAGCCACACATACACAAAGCCCGCCCGTGGGACGTGCACCTCTGCATCCAAGGTTGCTGTGAGCGAGCTGTTGCTGATAAACTGGGCCTCCAGGACCCGCGGCCACTGGGGGAGGGGGCAGGGGGAGTTGGCAGGCAAGCAGGGAAGAGAGGGGCCTTATGAGGGAACAGATGAAAGGTCAAGGCACGTGCACCTCTGCATCCAGTGGTGCTGTGAGTGAGCTGGTGCCGATAAACTGGGCCTCCAGGACCCGCGGCCACTGGGGAGGGAAGAGGGTGAGCAGGGGAGAATGAGCAACGCACATGCATGTCGGCATCCAAGGTGCACCCAGTGACAGAGAATGACCCTATCTGCTTGGTGCCATTGAGTTGAGGCATTGACACACCACCTGCACTGCATTGCTCCAGTCCAGACTAAGCCTGTAAAAGAATATTCGGTATTCGAGAACTATTCGATATTCGTTCGAATACCTGAATTCGAGAGAATAAGAAACGACCATGTATTCGAAAATATTCGCATCACGGGTATTCGTGAATGTAGAATATTCGGGTAACGAATATTCGAGGTATTCGTTACTATTCGGTATTCTATCATTAACCCCCCCCTCGTACTTTCCCTACATGAGGCTGTCTGTGTACCAGAGGTCGTGTGAGAGCTGTGCAAGAAAGTAGCTGGAGAGGGTCGTGGTGTTGGTAGTATAAGGTACATTGTATCACCCTGTGTCGACACTGCCTCTACAAGGATTTCTGTATTCGAAATTTAATCATATTCGATTCGGATTCGGCAGTATTCGAATCGTATTCGTATTCGGTTTTGGGTCAGTATTCGTATCGTATTCGTATTCGAGTTTGGGCCAGTATTCGGTCAAATAAGAAACAACGCATTATTCGGAGAATAGGGAGAAAAAATATTCGTATTCGTATTCGTATTCGTTTTTACAGGCTTAGTCCAGACCCTCACTGTGCTGTGCGTGCACGAGGGGAAATGCATCACTGCCTGCCACAAACTCACATCAGGCTCATGTGCCTCTCGTCGCACTATCAGGCGGCCCACAGTGCACCCGGTGAGAGGCTCGAGCTCCTTGGTGCAGCAGAAGAAGAGGGGCCCGCTGCCCTCCTCCTCCCCGTTGTCTGCATGGGCGAACGGCGCTGGCATGGGGAGGGGGAAAGGGGGGGAGTGTGGGGAGAGTCTGTTCAAGGCACTCGAGCTCCTTGGTGCAGCAGAAGAAGAGCGGCCCGCTGCCCTCCACGCTGCCCTCACCCACCCCGCTGTCTGCACGGGCGAATGGGGTTCGCACGGCGAGGGGGAAGGGAAGAGAGTGAGGGGGTTGTGGGGAGACGAGACACGCGGAGAAGCTGTGAGAGAGATTGAAGGGCGCACGAGCTCTTTGGTGCAGCACAAGGAGAGGGAGAACGGCCCGTTGCCTGCCCTCCCCCGACACCCCCCTGTCTGCTTGGAGGAAGGGGGCTGGCATGGTATGCGCTGAGAAGGAAGGGTAGAAGGAAGAGGGTTCGTGGCGAGAGACACACGGAGAAGCTGTGAGAAAGGTTCAAGGCACTTGAGCTCAAGTGCCTCCTTTCTTCAGCTGCACTCGAGCTCTTTGGTGCAGCAGCTGAAGAAGAGACGCCCGCTGGCTGCCCTCCCCCACCCCCCTGTCTGCTTGCGCGAACGGGGCTGGCATGGGAAGAAGGTGGGATGGGGTTGGAGAGAAGGGGGCTAGGAAAGGAGTGGGTGGGGTGGGGGGAGGTCGGCAGAGGCCAGTCCTGTGCCGCACACACATGCATATCAAACACCATCGCCTCTTGAGACGCCTCAAAGGTCGGCAGAGCCTAGTCCGGTGCCGCACACTCATGTCAAACAGCACCACCTCCACCACGCGTGTCACATGCCATGCTCCCCTTCCCCCACCCCACACACCCGCATCAACAGGCCATCACAGCACACGCACTCACTCGTGTCTGTGCTGCTGCTGTTTCGCCAGCGGTACCCAATCCGGTGCCGCACACTCATGTCAAACACCACCACCTCTACCACGCCTGTCACTCCCTCCAGTGGCTGTAGCTCCGCCTCCCATGATGGCCGCTGCAGGTGCATTCCGTGCAGGCTGGCAGGAAAAGGAGAGAAAGGGGTGGGTGGGTGGGTGGGTGGGTGGCAGGTTGGGAGAGGAGAGGGAGGAGAAGACATCCTCCAGTGGTTGTAGCTCCGCCTCCCATTACGGGCGCTGCAGGTGCAACCCGTGCAGGCTGGCAGGAATGGGGTAGGAGGGAGAGATGGATGGGCGGATGGGAGAGTGGGTGGGAAGATGGGAGGTTGTGTGGGTGGGTGGGTGGAAGGTGCGCCTGTCATGCCCTCCAACGGCTGTAGCTCCGCCTCCCACAATGGCCGCTGCAGGTGCAACCCGTGCACGCTGGCAGGAATGGGATAGGAGGGAGGGATGGGAGAGAGGTGTGCACATGGGTCGGGAGAGACTGAGAGGGTCAAAGGCTGTAGGCTGTAAGATGTAGGCCTCCAGGCCTCCCATGAAAGCCGCTCTGCAGGTGCAGCCCGTGCAGGCTGGCACAGAGGTTGAGAGGGGGCGTGTGGGTGGGTAAGTTGGGGGAGAAGAGAGGGCGCTGCGTGTGCAACTCGTGCAGGTGCAACTCGTGCAGGTGCAGGTGCAGCCCGTGCAGGCTGGCAACATTGCCGCTGGAGGGGGGGATGGGCGGGTGGATGGATGGGGAGGATGAAGGCGGGTACGAAAAAGGAGGAGATGGGGAGGAGGGTGGGTGGGCACGAAAAAGGAGGAGATGGGAAGGAGGGTGGGCGGGCACGAAAAAGGAGGAGATGGGGGTGGGGGGAGGAGGAGGAGGGGGCGGAGAAGGAAATGCGAATGCGGGAAACCAGGTGCGGGAGTGGAGAAAAGGGGGTGAAGTGGGTGAGGAAGGGGGGGATGTGTGGAAAAGCGGAGTGGTGGTCGGAAGGGGAAGAAGAGGTATAGGGGGGGAAAAGGGGGAAAGGGTGTTAGAATATAGCCTATGATGTTATACTTGTGCTAGTGTTACACCCAATTATGGGTGTACACTTTGTTCGAGGGGCCCCAACCAAGATCCAGACACAGCTCAGTGAGCTGCGTGCGTGCAGTAGGCTTAAAGCAAAGGAAAAAAACAGTAGTAGATTTCCGCTCTGAGTACAACTAAGTGCTCAAAACGATCTCAGAACCCAAATTCTTAGCAGTAGAGTAAAACAGGGACAAACATGTTTCGGCCTATCACGGGGAAAAAACCCGATCAGACCTTCATCAGTGCCAACAATGAGAAAGAAGGGCTAAGCAATGCCTCTAAAGAGAAGCAAGGCCTCTAAGAAAGCGAACTCTAGGCTATCCACACCCAGGTCACCCAAATGACGGGGACCAATCCAGACCACCCTCGAAAACTTCAGGCAGCCACGTCTTCAACTTCCTCGAAAGTGTCTGTGTAAAGGGTTGGGTTCAGATTTTCGCCAAGGGGCAACTTCAGAAGTCGCGCGCGCACCAGTAACCGCTGCAGGTTACAACCAATTTTCCACGCAACAAACATTCTCTCCACATACAATCCGCGTGTGATGAGGCGATTTTTGAGTCGACTAAAAAATCGCCTCATCACACGTTGGTTTGGGGCACCCCAACCCCCCCCCTACGCCACAATTGTTGGGGCCCACTTTGGTGGCCCTTGCCAACCAATTATTGGTCCGCCAATAATTGGTGGCTGGCCCCAACCATTATTGGGTAACCAACAATGTTGGCCAACCAATAATTCTGGGAGCTCACCTCCTAGTTTCCTCGCTTTTCTTTCTCCTATGTAAGCCCAACGTTTCCTTAATACAATGAACACTTTAGTTTCTCACAAAGGGGAGGGAGAGAAGGGGCAAAGAGGGGGAAAGGGGAGGAAGGGGAGGGGGAAGAAGGGGTAAAGAGGGGGAAAGGGGGGGAAGGGGAGGGGGAAGGAGGGGTAAAGAGGGGGAAAGGGGGGGAAGAGGAGGGGGTGGGGGAACGGCGAGGGAGGGGGGGGAAGACGGGGAAAGGAGGAGGACGGGGTAGATGGGGAGGGAAAGGGGTCGATGCAAGGGGAAGGGGGAGGGGAATAAAAAGGAGGGGGCAGGTGGAAGTGGGGGTGGGGGGAAGGTGAAACAAACAGAGAGCTCTATACACTCCCCACGGGAGCAGCATTCGCTCCCTACGGGAGCAGCAACCACAGGTTGGTCAAGGTGAGGGGAAGCAGGAGCGGGCGGAAGGGGAAGATGGACGGGGAAGAGAGAGGGCCGCTGAGCGAACGCACCGGATGTAACCAGATCCCGGCGAAGCCCCGCGTTCGTTCGCGAACATGCCCTCGCGGCCGGCGCGGTACAGGAGCAGGTCGACGGAATAGTAGGCGCGCTGGCCCGAGTACGTGTGGATCGCGGCTCGAGCGCAAGAGATTAAATTCAAGAGGAGAAGGAGAAGGAGCCATGGGATAGGGACGGCAGGTAAGCGTATGTGCGAGTGTGAGTCTCCCTCCGTCCCCCTCGACGCCATTCGGCGGCTTCGAATGCGCGCCGTGCGAGCATGCTCACGAGCGGATTCTAACAAGGCGTTGCTCGCAGACGAGGTTAGAGTCTGCTCGCGCGTTGTCGACTCAGTAGTAATGCGGGACCCGGTTTGAGTCTGTTCATGCGTCCGTCTCAAAAATGCTGGCGAGGATTCGCTTCTCACATAATGCGGAAGCATTGCTGAAAGCTGTTCCGAAGCGCGAAACTGTTTGACTTGTCTATCATGGAAAATCCTCTCGACAGCTGACACTGGCAAGTGTTGGAAGTTTCCTCCCTTATGAGGAACCACCTTCGTGACAAGTATGCAGGCACTGGGGCTGTGTGCATGTGTGCTATGTTTGTCGATTGGTTTTGGGGTACAGTACCCGGACAAACCTGGGGGGCTGGCAGGTTTGGGGAAAATATGCCACAAGTAACCAACTTGGAACTCGATAACGTGAATGATAAAAAAAGACGCGTACGGTCACTGTATCGGGTTTTCTGACGGGTTTGGTAAGCGGGGTCACGGATTCAGTCACTAACAACAGGTAAAAAATCACGCATGTAACTCCCGCCAAAAAAACTTGAAACTCAACAAAATTCCCGCTCGCGCCCAACCAATCTGCGAACTTGAAAATAAACTAAAACCCAATCGGAATCGGATGCGGTTTGGGAACGGATCAACCCTAAACACCTGGCGAGTTACGTGTTTAGGGTTGATCATCCGAAAATGCATTCAGGTTCTTTCTGGGTTTCATTTTGTTTTGGCGGGAGTTTCATCTGTGACCATTCGCGTTTTTTTTTACCAGCTGATTGTGACTGATTCCGTGAAACGCTTTGTCAGTCGCGTGAAAACACCCTTTGCAGTGACCGTACCCTTTTTTTTTACCAAAAATGTTTTCGAGTCCCATGATGGTTACGAACGGCATATTTTCTCGCAGGTTTGGGCCAAAACTTGGCCCTTTAGGGCGTGTAACCATTTTGTTTTTTTTTTGTTTTTTTTGTTTTTTAGGACCGTCCGTATATTCTAGAACGGACGGTCCTAATCTCGAGAGCAGGACCGTCCGATGTGATGGTTCGGAACCTTGCCATCATCCAGAAAGAAACACGACACTTTTCCTAGAACTCCAACTTCGCGACTACTGTAGCCTCGCGATGTTCCTGCAACACCCGTAACCCAATACAAGAGCTGTCGCAATTTTTCCACACCTACAACGCGCCTCGAAAGAATCACAAAGCAAGGCTTCGAAAAAAAAAAATACGGAAAACCAGACTCAACATCCGAAGCTCTCCGCCATGGCTCCTTACGAGAACTTGACCTCGACAAATGTCCAGCTTACTTCAACCAGTTCTCAACAAATGTTCAGCTTACTTCAACCAGTTCAGCAATCTGAATCTATTTTCTGGATCTACTCTTCAAGGGCTTGTTTACGATACCAACATTGTGTTCAAACAGAGAACATCGGATAGTCGTAACGCCACTTGAGAAGATCTGTTCTTTCAGGTTATAAAGCTGTTTTTAAGCTGAAGGCATAGAGTTACTTCAAGGAAGCTTCAATGGACGAGTTCATTTCAAACAGTCACCCAAAATGGGACCTGAGAATCAAGACGTTTTCACGAAAAGTAAAAAACTGCAAGTACAAGGAAGCTGGACTACGATATGTTTTCAGATTATCAGTTTTTGCTGCCATCTATCAACAACCAGCGAAGAGGAGGAGAGCTCGGAATCGAGCGTCACACATTGATCAAGTGGATTCACAGGCTAAGATCATGGCTGGATCTATTTCAAGTCGTTATTCAAGATGGCATCGAGAGAATTTTTCATCCTCTGGAAAACGCGAGAAGTATTTTTTCAAGGAACCAGAGCAACGACATTTGACTCTTAAAACGTCCGAAGTAACTACGTTAACGACTGTTGAAGTGTTCGAAGGCGAAGAGGTTTTTCCGTTGGAAACGTTTGACCTGGAAGACTTTCCTTAGCTCACTTGTTGAAGGACGAGGACTTATTTTCTAGGGCTTTTGGCAACGAAACGCCATATAAATTTCGACATGACAACGGCTGGAAGTTACAGGAAGTGCATCTGCAACTGGAGGATAATGCTGACGGGAGTTTCGTAACTGCTGGACGCCATGGATTGATGCAAGATTTTCCCGAAGTTGCTGTGCTCTCTAGAGAGAGGGCCAGAAGATTTCATGCCACTTTCCCGTGGCAAACTCGTTGGAGCAGACCTGCTATTGTTACCACTTTCTACCGCTTCAACGTCAAATAAAGGGTTGCTGAATCCACCTCACTCAACCACTCAGTGGCGACTCAACCAAAGCTGGAGGAAACCACGCGGCATAAAAGTGTCCACAGGTTAGGGCGTGTGTCCTTTTTGCTTCCGAGGGTTAGAACCGTGGACCGTCCAATTTGCGAACATGTTACCCGTTTCGCCTTTTGTCTTGACTGTTTCATGAAGGTATTGGCAACGTCGCCAACGGTTCGACATGTCGCGTCACTTTTCCCTTCAAGCAACGGTTCACATTCTGAACTTTTGGCAGTTCGAATTGCAAACGGACGTATGCACAGTTCTGACACTGGATTGGCGCGCGAACTACTCGGAAAACAAAAACCGAGCCGCATGGTCAATTTATTTGTGGCCCGCGACGCACGCCTGAACATTGAACGATCGCATCACCTCCTAGCCCACCAACACTACAAAGCTCCCAGCAATCCGAACTGAACCCTCACAACCAGCCTGCAATGGAGCACTCTAGCGCAGGTGACAACTCTGAACCGGCCAACACCACCCCGAACACCTCTAGTCCAACACCTCTGGGTGGGTGTGAATGTTTGAAATCGAGCCGCCATGGGGTGAGCGAAACTGGCGAGAGTGTGTGACTGGGGTTACGATGGTACAGTAGCTCTAGCGAGACCACAGTACTTCGGTAGTTTCTGAAGTAGAGAAAAGTTACATTTTTGCCTTCGGACAGTCTGAAGTTTCGAATTTCCGAAACGGACTGTCCGGTACCCGCTATTGGGGCCGTCCGTTTCGATAGATGTGGACTGTCCGGGAAAAAAAAAATGAAACACGCCCTTACCATATCTGAAGTGTGGCAAGTGTGTGGAAAGGAAGCTCCATACAAGCAAGAAAATGTTTTAGGCATTTGACTTTTAGACCTCCATAGGAATCTGCGAGGGTACAGTAAAAACTCTACCTAATCCCTCTAACTCCGGTTACGACAGACGGTGTTTTTGCGTTGTATAATGCACTTTCACCTTGAAAAAAAAAAACGCGCCTCGATTAAAAAAAAAAAACTGAAATCACAAACCAAACTTCGACCAACAAAAATCACACCAATACAAAAGTGTGAGACACTCTTCTTGAACATATGCAATGCCGAGCCCCCCGCCATGTCCCGCCGCCTACTACTCTATGTACTCCACTTGTTAGAAACTAGAACGAGAATGAATGAACTATGAATGAGTTGGGTACAAGTACAAACCTAATTGGGTTGTACCCCTTATGGACTACCCCCACTATAGCCTACACAAATGTAAGCACTATAACATTTTGACACACCTCCATAGGCAAAGTGGGGGAGAAGAATTGGTCACAAGACCAGTCAAGAAAAGCAAAGCAAGCTCAGGGTGGATCACGAAGTCACCACACATTCCGAGCACAAGCAAATGGCCACAAGGTTCACATGCAGAGTTATATAAAGGAGAACAAACAATACAGTGATCACACCCTAGCAAGTGTAAGCATGCAGGTATATATATAGATCACAGTACAAGCAAAGTCACGCAGTGAGCAAGTGAGACAATGTAGGCACAAGGCCTAACACAGTAGAGAAGCGCTGATGATCACCAGGCGAAAGTGCCTTGGTGAATATATCAGCAGTGTTCGCCCGAGTGGCCACGTAAGCAAGACGAAGCTGACCACGCTGGTGCAACTCTCGAGCAAGGAAGTAACGCAGAGCGATGTGCTTCGTTCTGTGCTCTAGTTTGTGCTCCTGACACAAGGCAATCATGGCCTTATTGTCGAAGTACAGAACTGGAGAAGAACGAGGCCGCTCTCCCAAGTCGGTCAACAGGTAGGTGAGCCAGCGTAACTCCTGTGCAGCCATGGCCCCAGCGTAGATCTCAGCCTCACAAATAGAACTGAGAACAGAAGAAGAGCGGGTATACCGCCAAGAAACAGAGCCGGAGCCAAGGCTGAAGGTGTAACCCTGTGACGACCGCTGGGTAGCCAAGTCGTCAATCCAAGAAGTGTCTGCGTGTCCAGTGAGGACAATTGGACCCCGTCCTCCAAGCACGAGCCCCAAGCCCGATGTACTGCACAAGTAGCGCAACACCCTCTTAGCGGCCTCCCAGTGCTCTGGTCGGTGTCTCCCAAGCGCAACGTAGCGTGCCAGGATGCTAAGAGGGTAAGCAAGGTCAGGTCGAGTGCAAGTCATCAGGTACATGAGGCAGCCCATAAGCTCTGGATATGGGCCACTCGGCTCTACGAACTCGTCCGAAGGTGGAGCTGAGAGCGAGTGACCGGTAGGCAGAGGAGTGGACTGTGGCGAGGAGTACCGAAAGCCGAAGCGCTGAAGGACCTGGTGCACCATGTGTGACTTGATTCAGGGTGATGGTGTGCCGTGCTCTGTCCCGGGTGATCTGCAAGCCAAGATAGCTGCGCAGCTCACTGAGGTCAGTGCACATGTGTCTCTTCTGCAACTCCGACTTCACAAGGGTCAGTGCCTCAGTGTCAGCAGTGGCAAAGACCGAGTCGTCGACGTACACGAGGACGTAGAACGGCGGCAGCGAAGTGTCGGTGCGTAGAAACAGTG